CACAAATATATTGCCCAGCCCTTTGCTGGGCTCTGGATGGAGTTGAATTAAATGCAGGCAACAGCCGAGAAAGGGAGATGTGCTAAAATGGCTCAAGATGATATAAAACCAGTTTGTGGTTAGGAATAGGTCAACCTAGAGTTTTTGTAATGCAAACAACTTGTTACAGTTCTGGCTTGTTCCTTTTGTGATAAATGTCATTGCTATGCCAGTTTCATTTTTATGCTATTTAGTTTTTCTGTAGCGAGTTCATCTAGTGCCTTAGCATGTCCTTTGTAAATGTTGGCTTTTTGCTCTATGGGATAAGAGACTTTAATTTCTGTATAATGCTCCATTGTGCCCTGTGTATCTGTTAGCTCAAGTATACGAGCCTAAATAGAAGAAACTAGCTAACTAGAAGAGTAATAACAGAGCATGTGTTAGGATTCCTTTTAATTCTTTGTAGGAAAGAAGACTGCCAAAGTGTCTCTTTTCTGTTTCAGAGTTCTTGCCTAGCATTGTGACTTTGTATGTCTCAAATACTTTGTTAAATAATTGTCAGACTAGGCTGTGAATAGTTAATTACTTGCAACCTAAACCGCAACCTTTTTTTGAGGTCTCATGGTATACTTTTTTATTCCATGACTGGCAGAATTCAAACACTGGTTTGTTGTAGGAAAGTGCTTAGAACATACATCTATAATAAATTTATTATATCCAGAAACTGGTAAAACAGTGATAAGCTGTAAACCATAACTGAGGTCTTCTGTAAGATTGAATTCGCTGTTTATGTAGCATATCCAACATGCCCGTAACTTTTAGCAGACTTTTTAACGTTATGAAGTAAAAGTTTAGAGGAAATCTGCTGGCATGCTGGTGGGGGAGGGTAGTGCCTGAAATCCACCAAAGTGCATCAGTTACATATTCAGAATATTAATAGTATCAGTAAAGAAATATCTCATTGCAACATGGTCTGCGTTTGGCGAAATATTGCTGAGCAAAATAGCAGAGCTGAAATTATGGTCTTATTTTATCTAGATTTTTCCCTTTGACTTCAGTGGGATCAGGGTTTTATCCAAGGAGAATAAAACACTGCAGATCATGAGCTCGGTCCAATAGTCATAGGATTGTGTTGGTACCAGATACACGATGGTGTTGAGGTCTCAGAAGAGCTAATCACATGCCTCTCCTACTAATAATTTGAGGCTAGCTGCAATCCTATTTCATTCATTCGTGTAGATTGATGATCTCTGTAGTACCTAGATGCTGTAAGGACAGAAATAGCTTCTGATATTCTGTCCATGCTGTCTTGGAAAATGAAATTTAAGAGAACAGACTTCTAGTAAATCAGTTGAATGAATGTATGCCAGCTCTGGCAAAATCAAAGTATGTTAAATCTGTTCTTGCCTCATCCTAGAAAGTTAAGTGACTGTCCATATCATTCATTTTGTTCGGAACAATGGTGGTGCTGTTGGTTTAGCCCATGGAAATTCAAGTACAGTGTCTTTTAAAAAAAAAACACATTAAAAACTCTGGCTGATCATTTTGGTTATGTTAACTTCCTCTTTTTTTTTGCTGATTGAGCCATAACACTGCATTCTTACCAACGCAACAGATTGCCTCTTTTAGAAGAAAAGTTGTTATTAATCAGATGGTTTTTTGTTGTTTTTTTATGATCTACTTCTGCCCCCCCATCAAATACATTTCCATCTGCAAGGAATTTTCTTGTTTTAAAAAAAATTGTGAGCCACAATATCTAATTTTCTGTTGCCCATTGATAGAAATGCACTGATAAAATCTGCCCAGCCAGAATAAATTTGGAAATAAACTTTTGTTTCATTACCCTGAAACTTCCAGAGATTTTAGTGAACAGCAAAGAAAAATGTTTGAGCTGCTCTCCTGCTCCACCCCTCCTCAGCAGATGTGAGTCAGCATCCTGTCCATGCAGCATGATTCCCAAGCGTGAAGTACAAGCACTTATTTTCCGTTAAATGCCAGAGAAATGAGTTAACTTCATATTTCCATGCACAAAGCATATGAATAAGAAACTTGGATGCAGTCATTTGTGGGCTTCTAATCTATCCCAATTGTGATAAAACTTGAAAATGTCATTTGCCTTTTTTGAATGCCAAGAACAGTTTAAATTTAGAATTTATTGAAAAGCTTAAGACATTGTTTTATGCTATGAATCTGCAACAGCAGAAAGGCCCAATGTCTGTGTGTCTGTTTCTGGACTGGGAGAATTTGTTTTCTTCTATAAAATGGGAACGGTTTAAAATGTGCAGGAGTAGATTATGGCTGAAATGTGCAGTCAGCATGCTTTAAACCAAAATTAGTAACCAAAACATATGATGCTTTCCAGGGCCTTTTGACTTTTGCAGGCCAAGCTTGTGTGAATAAGAGCACTGATGTAGGTCCGCCTCAGCGTAAACTGAGGACACGAGGCTATGAAGTTCAGTATTTCATCACAAAAAATGTGGTGAAGAGGGAGAAAGGAATTTTGGATTTGACTCATCATTTTAGATTCTGTAGCTAGGGACTAATAGATGTCTTGCCACGTTGCCACTTTATATGATTAATTTTACAATATCTGTTGCAGTCCTAATACTTACATGTTGCATTCATAATACTTGCAGTAAAAGGAGAGACCTTGATTGAAACTTTGGGCTTATTCTGACCTGTAGGTCAGAGCCACCTGTTTGCTTCAAAACCTGGCATGCAACTCACCAGAAAAAATAACTGGTTATACATTATCTTTCTGTTGCAGAAGAATATGTGCTGTATTAGATGTGCAATATTTAGAAATAGTTTTACCTCTTCTAAACTTCATCCAGTCAGTCTGGAAATAGCAAATGGTTACACAGCATAGCTGTACTTTAGCTTGATATTTGAGCATGACAATGAGAGCTGTTGTAGCTGTCTTCTCTGTCCATCCATTTATAAGCTATGCTAACTTTTCTCTTGGAAAGACTTTATTATCAGGACATTACTTGTTGCTGTGCTGTTATCCTCCACCTGTGTTTGAATGGCATGTCCAGACAGCTTTGGTTAACCAATAATGTAGATGAAATACAAATGGACTTTTGTCCTAGGAGCTGAATTCAGCGATATAGACAAATATGTGCATTGGAGAATTGGGGAAGGGGACTCATTCTTTCACTTGTCTCTTTTTACAAAGCATTTTAAGAAAAGGATTATAATTGTCCTACAAAAACTTAGTTGTGTTTGCTATTTTAAACAGAGTAAGACAAATTCAAAATGAGATTTTACTTCAGCAAGCTACTGTGTCCTCACCCAGCCTTTGGAAATTTTGACCACCTACCATTTGATGAAATACACCTGGCCTGACCTTTTCAGTTCTGTTCAGATACATACCGTGTCAAAGTGTGCTGCACTGTTTTTCTTATTTGTTACTCCAGCTCTTCCCACCTACCCCACCCCCCCTGTCCACACCAGCTGCTCTGTATCTGTTGGTAACAATTCTTTTGTTTTACCTTGTGGCAGAGAGACTTGCATTTCTAAACATTTTCCTTTGAGTAATGTAGACTGGCTTCTTGCAAGGGCAGTTTCTATAAGCTCTCATAGCAAGAGAAAGTATTTAATATGACTTTAACGCTTAGTTAAGAGAATATAAATACAACTTGTTTGGCTTTTTTCTGCTGATGTGAATAAGCAAAGGGTAGCTGTCCTTGCAGATCACGCTTTGAGAGACGTGGGTGTTTGCATGGCATGGTAACTGTACATCCGTTGGGTTAGAGCCCTACCACAGGATGCAGGGATAAGTCACGTGCTCTGGGATCGTCTCAAGAAGCTGAAGAGCCTCCAGTCCAATCAGGCTCTGGTCTGTCTTTTCAGTTGCCGAGACCAAGCTCCAGATGAGAATTGTGATCAGAGGAAGAATTGTGCCAGTCCAGAGAATGCAAGTTCAGGAGAATCCAGTTTGAAAGCAGCAAGTGAAGTGGGGAAAACGAGAGGGAATCTGACGTGCAAGTTAGTAGCAGTAGGCAGGAGCAAGTGGAAAAGTCACAAGATGCTGGCTGCGTTGGAAAGAACATGGAGTAGCAAGTAGCTATATCTAGGAAATAACAGCTGGAAATCCTGCTTCCTGTACAACATAAAAGCTTTTTCTTTATATGCATTGACCTTCATTGATGACTCCTACAGGATCTAAAGCTGTGTTGTGCATTAGGTTCTATTGACAGCAAGAGTATCTAATCCTAGATGCATGCTTTGGTTTTTAACTTATAATAAATCTTAGTGATTGCATTGCATGCAGGCTGCAGTTGTATTTAAGTGCATGGATTTGGAAAACTTCACTTAAAACAAAACCTTTACTGATACGTAGTTCACTTAAAAGATAGCTTGGGAGTTTGAGAATCCAGGTTCTTTAGGCATACTAGTTAAAACTCAGCATGGATCTTTCAGTGATGATTTCAAAAAAAGTAGCACATAAGTAGTTCTTCCAGTGTCAAAAACCCCTTCTGTCTTCTAAGCCTTGAGCTGCTGAGAGAATGAAATACACTGTTTTATTTTGCCATTATTATGTTTGGAGTGATAGTTAAGTGACTGTGGGTTAAATGGAAAATATAACTGCTTTGTTAAGAAACCTTAATCGAAAACACTCTACCAAAACGACAGAGCAGGCTTTAGTAAGTACATGTTCATGGCAGTTTCAAAACCTGTGTTCTTGAGCAACTTTTTGTAGAATACTGAGTGACTGAACACAAGTACACAGGCACACAAGTGAAGCAGAAAGCAGAAGTAGCAAAGCTGGTCACAAACTAGATGTTGTTGAGATGTATGCACGCCTGCGTGCACAAAGATCTGCATCACAGAAAATTTGAGCTGTAAGTGGTTGCCCTTTCTCCAAGGCCAGGACATGACATATACTAACTAATGAGAGCTGTTCAGCTCTGCTCCAGACTGCACATATGCTATGTTTTGAGTGTTGGAGAACGTATTCATACAAAGAGAATAGTAACAAGAAAGCTTCTTTAACTCTTTGTCTTATGTCTTTGTAGGTGTGGATGAGGTCACCATCATCAACATCCTGACAAACCGCAGCAATGAACAGAGGCAGGATATTGCTTTTGCCTATCAGAGGAGAACCAAAAAGGTAGCAAGATATGAAGAAATACCAAGTATTGAATATTTTTCTTGTGGAGAGTTAGATTTTTCAGGGCACTAGCATATTTCACAGTTAATTGGGTGTAAACTGGAGATAAGTATTATTTGGTTTATCTTTTAACTGAAATCAACGATGCGTCTACTTTGTCCATGTTGTCACAGTTTAGGACTGGTGGGACTTCCAACTCTGTTAAGTATGCACAACTGGGACTGAAATCCATTGGAGTCAGTGGTTTCCTAGCACCTCCAGAAATCACAATGGGTGACATATCAGCCAGCCAGCCACAGGATTCATGAAATATGCTAAACAATAGTGAAAAGCTATTGACATGAAATGCCTCAGTTTGAAGAAAAAAATGAAAGGGAGATGCATTAGGGGATTGAAATTTTTTTTTTTTTTTTTAAGACAACTCAGCATAAGGGAAGTATTCTGTTTCTGTTCATAGAGCTAGCTTAAATGAGAAAAGACTGCAGGCAGTTGTGCTACGAATGCTGCGGTTGTGGAACAAAGTGATATAAGGAGTTGAACTATCACTAGATGTTTTCCTGTCAGAAATACGTTAGGTACTGATCTATTGATGGAGAAAAATCTGTAAAATGTGTGCAGAATTCTGCATAATGAGTCTTGCTGTCTAGAAGGCAAGAGCTGTTCTCTTGACTTTTGAAGTTTTGAGAATCTTGCCATAATTGAAGTTTTATGCCCACGAAAAAACAGGAAAATTGTATAGAGTTAGGTTTATGATGAATGTATCTTTTTCAGGTTTGCCAGACCCCAAATGGTAGTCCTCCGATAGCAGCCCAGAATGCTGATCTGAAACCAAATGTAAATCTAGAGTTAAATTTTGGAAATTCACCAGCTTTTATGCATGGCTGATGTAGGCACATGCAGAAGCACGCACAAGTTGGACACATGCATGTGTGCACACATCTGCACCCTGGCAGTCACGCCCTGTGGGCACTGGGAGAATCATGCGTATAACTGGACCCTAGTAGTAAAATGTCACTTAAATCTTTCTTAAATGTTTTGCATGACCACAAAAATGCACAGTCAAGAAAATCTGCAACTTTTAAAATCTGTTTCTCTCACCTTTTTTCCTTGATGCAACCCAAGAGCAAACTGAATTTATCCAGTTTAACAAGTGCCAAAAAATAAAACAGTCTGTAGAAATAATGGAAATTTGCAGTAGAAACCACTCAGTGAAATAATTAAGTGAAGGACAAGAGAGAAGGAAGTGGGATATGAAAAGATGTGTAGGTGTGTCTTTTGGGGACAGTATCTCGTGGTTTTCTTTGGCAACGGGTTGTGCAGATTTCTTTGGCAATGCATTGTGTTGTACTAGGCTGCTCATTTAGTGTGTTGCAGGATTTCTCAATAGATCACTATAATTTTTAAAAGTTGCAGATCTACCTCTATTTTCATTCCTTTGAGTTGGGGTGTGTCTAATGGAAACTGTTGGTAATTCTGAGGAATGGTGTTTGATCTGCACAAACTTTCCCCATCACCAGCTTTAATGGAGCTGCCAGTGAATACTGAGGGTTCTGCATGTGTGTCTTCGTAGGTGACTAGTCAGTCCTAACTGCTGCCAATAATCTCTTAACTTTGAAATGAACTGCTAATATCTAGCTGCTCATTTGGAACACTTAGTAAAACGTTTTCTCATTGCTATTTATAAATTAATGGTAACTGTCAGTTACCTGCTTCCCACTTCTCTCTTAGACTGTTCCTAGCCATGGCAAAGGATGGCGGAGTAGAGACCTTAACCTGCTAATATGAGGGCAAGTGCTTGGTTCAGTTTGAGGTGTTTTGTCATGGTTATTTTGGTAGATCCTACTGTAGAGATTTGTATTTCCTTCATCCTTCCCACCAAAGTGCAAAGATTGCAAAAACTTCACTCATCTAATTGGAATTCATGGCATTGTCCTAAAATTTATTAGAGAGATATGATCTCTTTGCCGTTTCAGCTGATGTCTGAAGATCCTGTTTTCACACAAATAAATGATGAATGTTGTATCCAAAATAGAGTTATTGTACTAAAATGTTTCGTGGACTAAAGCAGCTGGATGCCCAAAACCCCATTCGCTGCCTTGGTCAATCTATGCAGTAAGTGCATACAGTACTAGCATATATTAGTGCCCTGGATTAAATGGGTGACTCTGGAAACAAAGTATGTGCCTTGGCTCTTTAGCTCTCTGGTACAAACTTCTCTGCAATTTTGCTGAAGTCACTTTCTCTACCCCCTTTTCCCCTGCCCCTCAAGCTCACAAACTGTTAGTGTAGAAACTAGCAATTGAAATGCAGCAGTTCTCTTCTGAACGCTTCAGCTTAGGGAATACCTTGGTCTGTGTGAAACCCAGACTTGATCCCAGGGATTTCAACTTTGTAACTACACTACAATGAAGCTGATAATTAGCATTATTCAAGTTGCATCTGAAAGCCATAAAAGAGGACCTGCCTCTGACTTGACTTGCTACAGATTTGCATGCATCCTGTGAAATGAACATACCTGACTGTTTCTTTCTCTAGGATTGACTGACAATTAACAATAGAGACTTTGGCTACACTCTTCTGATAGTTTCCTTGAAGACAAGGATAATTTTTTGGTGCTCAGGGACAATTTTTTCTCTTCAGCTAGCTGTTTGGGAACTGGGCCTGTACAGTGGAATAACTGTGTAGTCAATTTTCCGATGTCTCAGCTAGTAAAGGGCCAAGATAATAGGAAAAACACAAATAATACAGTGCGACTGGGAAAACTATGGGAGTGTGATGGAGAAGCACTGACCGCAGGGAGTCAAACTCAGATCCATCCGTGCTTATTAGCTCCAACAAAGTGTCAGTGCTTAAAGACTGGAGCGGAGCTGTTCGGATGTGTCTGCACCATACTTCCCAGCACTTTGTCAGCCACCAGTGGATTTCTTCTTATTTTCAAGGGATGAGAAAAAATTCCTTTGCCCTGATTTCTTTCTTAGGCTTTCACAAAAGGAAAGCTCTTTATGTTCTGTTTCCTTGTCAATTGTATATGAAACACTGTTGCAGGCTTGGAGGCTTAAAGCACTACAGGCTAAATTCTCTGAAGATCAGAAGTGAGCTTTAATTTTTTTCTTCCATCATCCCTCCTTTTTTTACAGGAACTTTCTGCAGCGCTGAAGTCTGCTCTGTCGGGTCATTTGGAGGCGGTGATCTTGGGCTTGCTGAAGACACCAGCACAGTATGATGCCTCTGAACTGAAAGCTGCCATGAAGGTAAATGAGCTTTGGAATTTAAGTATCTTAATCTGATGTCACTGTCTGAAGAATGAGTGTGGACTTCATATCCAAGGCCACAGTTTTCAAACATGTCCACTGATTTTTTTTTTTAATTTTTTTTTTTTTGTACTACAGTTTAATATCCAGCTGCAAGGCATCCAAAATGAGATAAATTCTGCAACCATGTGATTTTTAAACTGTTATTAAATTCTTTCTTTAAGGAAAAAAATAAATTTCATCAGGTCAGGAATAACTGATAGGCTGCTCTGGCTGGTTGCTACTTTGCTGACTGCTCTTAAAAACAACATACAGGTTCATAGTACAAAAAGCCATTAAGAGAGCAGCTGATAGCTGGGGCCATTAAATCCTCTGCTAGCATTTATAGTCTTAAACAGTAGTTCCTAGTTACTGGGTCATATCACTGATCTTGAAAGAACATCCTGTACCAGACCTGCCTCTGATAAAACATGAGGAGGGTGAGGATGGGGCATCAAAAGCAGTCTTTGGAGAAACAGCGCAGCAGTGCGTCACTGTGTTCCGTTCCCTACAATCACAGGCAAGCGTGGAGTAGATTGCTAGTTTAGAAATATCCGCCCTGCAGGCCGCTGAAACAAGACTTTGAGAGGTGCTCATGCCAATGCATTCACCTTTCTAAGCAAACTAAGGTTTGGGAATTTGTATTTATAATTATCACTTAAATTCTGAATGTTCTTAATCAAGTTAATTTTTTTTAAAAAGTAATTAACACCCAAGTATTAAAATGTCTGTTGAAATTCAGAACAAGACAAAAAACCCAATTAATTAATTTCTCCAGACTATGAAAAAGGAGTTAAAAAACAAACAAACAAAACCACTGCCTCTAGCTCCCCCCCCAAAAAAACAACCAACCAAACCAAAACCTCAAACCCCCAAACCCAACCCAGTATGGAGAGGGTAACGCTTCAATTATGGGCCAAATCCTTTGTTTGATTAATCAGATGCTGCCCTCTTCTGGTTGAAGTCGAGGCTATCCATAATTTACCGGATTAGTTTGGTGGTTGAGTTTGAGGGTTTTTTGTTTTTGTGGGGGGTGGGGGGTTGTTTTTTTGGTGTTTTGTTTTTCTTTTTTTTTTTAACGTCTTAAATCTGATATGTTATATTTAAGATTACCATTTACTTATATAGCATTTATGCTGTATTTACAGCCCAAAGGCCAAGCCGTTACTTCAGAGTAGCCACAAATGTAGAATATTCTGTTCTCTCTATAGGTCAGCTATTCCCAGCTCCCAAGCTCATAGTCTAATGTTCTGAATTTACCTGAGTTTAAGTTTGACTTGATACATACAGCATAATAAGCTATGACATGGGAATCAAAGTTAAGCTAAGCTATCATTGAGGAGTTAATTATTTTTCTGGTACACATTCTTACAAAATACTTTAAAAAATATTTAGAAAATCTTAAATTTCGTTAGCCTTCATTTCTTCCCCAGATACCTATTGGAATCACTCTGTGGAAAGCTTTTATAATTCTTTTTGTTGTGAGCCATTTTTATAAAATTGCTTGGGTTTAGTCCCCTCTCTCTCTCTCCCTATCCCTCTTAATAGAGACACATTTTCCAAGAGGGTAGTTTTCCACATAATTACCTCAATTTTCCACGTGTGAAAGACTTCAGCATGTGAAGTTTTCCCAAGATGTTACCCAGCAGACTCCTCTTGGAGTCCTGTGGAAGCCATGCCCATTTTTGCCACATACAAAGTGACATTCTGTTACAGATGGGCTTAACAAACAGCATCCTAACAGGAGGCATAAGAGTGTTTTTTCTCTCTGCTGGTGATGCTGGAAGATGAGGGTAATGAGGTTAGCATGAAGATGGTTGATTGGTAGGTAAGAAACAAGACAGAATGAAGAAATCACCAGTGGAGTCTTTTTTTAAAAAAGTTTCTTTTCAAAATACTGAGGGATCTGGCTGCCAGATGGCTTTACCAACTAGTAACCCAGGCATCCTTAGTGGTCACTGGAGAGAGAAGCATCTTCAGCTCATCCAAGTTAGTCTTCTGTTCTGAGCCTGGCCTTCAGAGTTTCCCGTCTTTCTCCAGGAGCAAGAATATTGCAGTGTTGTTGGCAATTTTTTTTTATTTATTTAATTTGGCTGTTTGTCTATATTAAATAATTGAACAAGGTTTAGAGCACATTGATCAAGCCATATTATTTTTGAGTATCTGAGTTACTATAAGGTTTAATTGATAGCTGATACATTTTGATGTAGTTTGTAATTTGTTATAGTGCTAATTCGTATATTACTTTTTTAAACAGTAGTAATGCAGCTTAGTTCAAAGTACTGATTCTTCATTGACCTTGATCACAAAAATGGCTTTGAAATATTGTCTAAGACCTCTCAAGTCATTCAGCTTGTTCAGAAAAAATAAAATCTGAATAGTTTATCATATTAAATACATATTTATTTCTAAATATTTATATAGCTAATAGTAATATTGTTTCATCTGTATTTGTGCATTATGAAGTACATGGAAAATATGGACAATGGAGAGGGGCTATTTATTAGCTAGAAATTCAGAACATGCTTAAATCAATGCTGACTTGGAGACAAGGCCAAGGCTAACGATAGTGTCATCCTTGGATTTGCGTTTATAGCGTGTCCTGGTTTGGCTGTAACAGGACTATTTCACCTTTCAGTGGTTTCACTTTCAGTTAAGTTTCTTCTAAATAACTGTACTTTCTGAAGTTAGCTACATGTTTTTCAGACAGTATCTGCCTTCAGAATTGATAACGCTTGATGTGTGTAGTTGTTACGAAAGTAACAATAGGATTGGTACACAGAAAGGCCTCCATTTATGCTTATTCCTGTGGGAACCAAGGTCACTGCTGGCTCTCTTATGTTCCACAAGTGAAAAGGTGTAAAAGGGTCGCACCTGTGGGAAGTGCAGACAGGGCAGGTGACCAAAAACTGACCAACGAGGTATTCCATCCCTTACACATCATGCTCAGTATAAAGCTAAGGGATCACAGGGGTCAGCTCTCTCTTCCTTCAGGGCTAGCATCCCTGTGAGACCCTGCTTGTTCTCCTGCTTCTGATCCCAACCTGTGTATTCCTGAATCCGGTTCCTGTCGGCTGCTGAGCCCAGTCTGGGACATCAGGTGTCCGCCCTGCCAGCACAGCGGTGCGAGCCACCGCAGCTTACAATTCCGTGACCATCATTGGGAAGCTCAATATTGGTTCTGCATATTTTTTTCTTTTATTTCTATTATTAGTAGTATTAGTATTATCATACTCTTTCATTGCTATTGTTTTATTGAAGTAACTTTAACTTTCCAACCCATAAGTCTTTCTCCCTTTTCTCTTCTCCTTCCCCCTTCTGTGGAAGGAAGGAGTTAATAGAGAGCATCTGCTTTAAGTGCCAGCCCAGCCTTTTAATGATGACATAGTGGAGGAGTTGTATGGAGGGAGGTGGGGAAGAAAATCAGGGAAGAACAAGTTGATTGCAGTCCATTTGCATGCTAAGAATTGGATTTTCTTCTGTGCTCTCAATGAACAGAAAACAATCACACATGGGCTGTGATAAGTTGATTTCATCCAGTTATGCTGGTGGGGAGGCCACTGAGTGTTTAGAGACACTCACAGCAAATCCACATTGCCCAGAGATTCTATCTACAGGATCTCAAAGTTACTGGAGTAGTATTTGGCAATTAAAAATGTTCCATCTGGGGTTTCTCAGGCACAGTTGGCAAAAAATATTCCTGAATGGCTGTGAAGCTGTTAGAGTGGGAGAAAGGAGATGTCTGTAAAATATTTTTAAACCATTCAAGCATGCCTGTTTCTAGCACCTAACTGAATCATACATGTGTTGCAGGGTCTGGGAACTGATGAAGACACACTCATTGAAATCATCTGCTCGCGAACAAATCAGGAGCTTAGTGAAATTAACAGAGTCTACAGGGAAAGTAAGTTTACTTTGAAAGTCTCAATATACTATGTTTTTACACTAAGTTACTTGGATAAATTCGCCTCAGTGTGAATTTGATTATTGAAGTCACTTACACAACATCTGCTTAGATTCTCTGGCCGTTGGACATAAGATAGTATTTTGTATTGATGTCCTGGATATTTGTGTGTGTTTATATACTTTCATCTTGTTGCTTGGTATCAAACAAATTGGAGAACATTTACTACTTATATAAGTTGTGCCTAAAGGAGTTTTTTTTGTAAGCCACATGTATTCTGTGCATAGTGGCAGGATTAATGTTAGATATATGGATTCTAGCATCAATTATGTAACAAGTAGGTGAATCTGAAATCTGATTCTGAAATACTGAAGCATGCTTGTAAGTTTATTTGTAGACCTGTCAGAAAATACATGAAATAAAACTTCATCAAAGCATATATTCTGTTTTTCAGGTTTTCTAAAGCATGTTATCTGATTGAAGCTATAAGTCTTAGTCGATTATAAGTAGATGTAAGAGTGATCTAAGAACCATCATCAAAAAAAAAATTACTTCAATATTATTTATATTTTTATATTGGCCATTCTGATTGGGTTTATCACAATTCAATAGTGCAGCTGTCCAGTGCCTGTTTCTTCCCCTGAGCTTCAGAGTTGAGCTTCACTACAAATAGACTGAAATGTAGAAAATTGCTGTGTGCTAATGCTTAATAGTTGTCAAGCAATTCTGGTAAGGTGTTGGCCAAGTCAAAAAGGAGAAACAAAACCAAGGTAGTCTTAATGGCTGGTATAAAAAAAAAATAATATGTATCAGCAGAGAAAATGTTGCTGCTGTAGATTAGGTTGCTGTTGAAAAGAAGACAGAACGTGATTTTGTAGCAATATAGAGTATGACCACTTGGAAAGCAATGAAAATGTTTAGATACCAGACTGGAATCACACACGTCATTCCTTTATCATAACAGCTTTTGTCTTCTGCATTAAACTTGTAATTGCTGTTGTCCAGTCCTAAATCCATGAGTGGAGAAGGCCTAAATGCTGTGTTTATCAAACAAGCAAACATACATTGGCATCTAAAAATTATCTAATGGGATATAGAGCTTAAAACAATATTGCCTTCCTTTTAATAGTCTCAGGCTTTCCTGTTATCTTTCCATGACAGACTTTGGTTGCATGGGAACTCAAATGACTAGCTGGTAGCAATGTTGGTTTTGTTGTGTGCAAGCATGCGTCTGTTTTCATTGTCTTCCACATGTGACTTAGATTGTAGCTGTTTGTTTATGCGCATAAAGCACAATAATTAGCAACTCTTCTTCTTGTAAAGGAGTATTTGTAGGACACAATTTACTTCAAAAGAATTTTTTGTTTTCTAGTGTACAAGACAGAACTGGAAAAGGACATTATATCAGACACATCTGGTGACTTTCGCAAGCTAATGGTTGCCCTGGCCAAGGTAGGTCTGTTCATATTTTTCCACTTTTCCTAATGTGTCTGCCTTTTGGTAACTGCCTGATAGCTGCCAGTAAAACAATTGGATTTCTGATTCACTTTTAAATTTCTTTGTATTTTCACTGTCTTTTGGGGGAAAAAATATTCAAATGTTGAAGGGCAAAGTATTTTGACAGAGATGCAGCGTTCATAGCAGCAGCTTCATAATGGGGATGGAGCATACTGTTACTCATTTAACAAATTCAGATTAAAAAAATTAAAGAGAAAAGAATATACATACAGCAAACTGCTTACTGTCTGTTAAACCTCCTCTAAATACTGCTGTCCTTGTTTGAAGGGCAAAAGGTGTGAAGATACCTCTGTGATTGATTATGAGCTGATTGACCAAGATGCTAGGGTAAGTGCTGGTAATGGCTATTAAATATGTTAAGTTGATCAAGCTTTTTAGGATGCTGAAAGTACAAATACTGTGGGAGTGAGAAGTATTTATGAAAGTAGGTGTGTATATTTCAGATTGTGTGGCACAGCAGAGTTTGCATGCTATCAGCATATCTGGTACTTGAAATCCAGATACCTTCGGTTATCGGTTTTCACGGGCTACCTACCCACTAGTACCTATACAGAAGCTCTCTGGAATTTCCCTTAGGCATGCTGAGAAAGGGAGCCTTTAACAAAAGCAAACACATACATTGCGAAGACTGGTTGCAACCAAGTAATTGTGTAAGACTGAGAGAAGTATTGTTGAACTTTGTGGCCGCTAGTGCTTGTTTATTACATCTGTATCTGTCAAGAGCAGTTCTGCTGAGGTAAACAGAGCCTCATACAGAGTAAAACCTGTAGATAAAGGTAAACACAAAATAATTAGTCCTAGTTTCAGATTAGATCCATAAATCTTGTCCTGGTGGTCTGCCCAACCATGTGTCCTTTTGTGTTTCTCCCACTGACACAGTTCCAGTAGTGCTTGTTTTCCAGTAAGGAAATTGTATACATTTGTGATGGTTTCTTGTGTAACTCCTGATTTTCTTGATTTTGCTTTTCATTCTAACCCCAGGAGCTCTATGATGCTGGTGTGAAGAGAAAGGGAACTGATGTCCCCAAGTGGATCAACATTATGACTGAAAGAAGTGTTCCCCACCTGCAGAAAGGTACTATTCAAGAGGCAGATCTTTTTTTTTCTTGTAAGAAAAAATTATACCAAAGTGGTGACTATTTTGTCCAAGATATGATTGAAATGAGTGTGAAAAGCACTCATAAAACATAGATCTCATAAATCTTAATTCATGTTCAAGCTGTTATTTTTTTCCACAAAATGTACTTATTTCTGTGGATGTGTTAATCTCACAGTTTGAATGTGTGTAGAGCTCTTTTTTTACACAGGTGTAACAATGCTCAATTATATGTCATGTACACTGAGAACAAAAATGTCACAAATCTAGAAAATACGGCTGCAGGAGACCTTGAGAAGTCCTTTAGCTTTTCCCTCTGTCCTAGGGTGGCTTAGCTATATCACGTGTTTAAGTCTGACAGTGAAGAGTCTCAAAAGCAGCTCTGATATTGCTATAAGAAGCACATGGGAAAGCCATTTGGAGGCCTTTCTTTTCAGGACCTAAATCGTGGTTGTTTCAAAAAATACTAGTACAGGATTAAGACAGTATTTTACCAGATTATGGAGGTGTTCAAGGAAAACAAAAAGGGCATAGCATGGGAACCTTACTGTCAGCTGACAAACTTAGGCTGTGTGCAAGATAAAGTTCTCAGAAGGACTTGGACAGATATTTTTTTTAATCATGTGTCTCCTCATTGCTGTCTCTGTTTTTGATTTGAGTGGTTACTTTTACCAGTTCTTGGTCTGGTTTTGATTTCACCCGTTTTCTTTCTTGTGATAGTGTTCGACAGGTACAAGAGCTACAGCCCATATGATATGTTGGAGAGCATCAAGAAGGAGGTTAAGGGCGATTTGGAGAATGCCTTCCTTAATCTTGGTGAGTTACCCTGAAGCAAAGACTCTATTTAGATAGGATCTTTTCAGTGCTCTTGCAGTGTATCATCGTAAGGATAGGGCCCAGCTTGCCGTGTGTTGGTGGAAAAGAAATAAACTGGACATGCTGGCATTATTGGATCGACTAGTTTATTTTAGGGTATTACAAGAATTGAGAAGTAGCGTGTTTTTGCCCTCTGCAAAATATAAACCTTGCATTCCAGATGAAAATAAATAAAAATGCATGTGTGTTGTGATCTGTTATTAGTTCCACTTATGTTTGATACAGAGGCTTAATGTTTGTTTCCCCAAACAAACAAAAAGGTTGGAACTATAGCTGAAGACAGTAAGTATTCAATATAGACATAGGCTGGAGAGAGAACAGTACATATGTGAGAGGAGAAGACAGGCAGTGGAGGTTGCTAGAGGCTAATAAAAGGGCTGACGTGGCACTGAATTCTCTGGAATGGGGAGGCAGGGTGTAAGGTTGGTACTGCAGCATGAGATGAAGACGACAAGGATATCACCAAGCTTAAGAGGGAATTCTTTAAGAGGAAAATCCATTTCAGACTAAGGGTGAACTGAGAGTTCTGTAATGCAAATGGAGAATAAACAGAGCTCAGCCTTGAAAGGGAGACTTCTCATGGATTAGCATACAGTGAGTGTTTTCAGAGAATAGCTTGCTTACAGAAGTGGAAGAATGAATTGTGGTGTGTGTGGAGGAGGGCTAGCATTCTGAAATGATACCAGTGTTGGAGGGAAATACTTTCTGAGATTGTAAGCATTTGTGGTTCAGTCACAAGCTTAGCCAAACAACTTCTAAGTAGCAACTTGGGTGAAAATAATTTCTCTGTGTCCCCTTTTGGAGAAACTTTTGCTGAAAACCTTATTTTAACTACTTACTATGTCTTTAAAAATGGTTCCAAGATTCTATGTTCTGCTTCCATGTATGGGCAGGATGTTTAACTAGTCTTATCTCTCTCTTCAGTCCAGTGCATTCAGAACAAGCAGCTGTATTTTGCAGACAGACTGTATGATTCCATGAAGGTAGGGAAGACTGTTCTTTCTTTCTACTCATTTTTTTTCTTGCCATTGTTTCATCAAATTTTGATTCCTTAGGCACTTTTTTTTGTGTGATATGTGACTGGCATGTGAATAAATTAACAATGACTTGGTATTGTTCAAAAGCATTCTTTAACAGTTATGAGCGTAAACCATCTAGTGAGATGCATCTGGTATAGGGAAATGTAGGGAAGGGTCTCATAATAATGATCTGTATTAGATCAGTTGATTATAATTAGCAAAGCTGGACATATCTTTTGCAGGTAACCAAGAGCTGATAGCAGAAAAAGCTGTTTATTTTAGTGTCTTATTTTGGCACTTCATTTGCCTCAAAACATTTTATCAAGAAAGGGGATGAAAGAGAAACGCCTGGTGACAGACTTTAGGCAATACCAGGAAGACCTCCTGGTGGACCAGAACCGCTGCTTACAGTCTAAGTAGCTAGATTTGTGACTGGAAGTTGGTCAAACCCTGCTGGTGAGAAAGGTATATTCATGCTCAAATTCCTGGATCATAATAATGACCTCAGTTGGAAGAGTTAATTCATTGTATCTTTTATTGCTACATCTCAGTTGCCTGTAGTTTGCTGTCGTACAGTTAGCTGTGGTGGCCTTTTACACATTTCAGCTATTACAGCTTTAAATGTGTATCTGTTTGTAGGGCAAGGGAACCCGCGACAAGGTTCTGATCAGGATTATGGTCTCCCGCTGCGAGGTTGACATGCTGAAAATTAAGAGCGAATTCAAGAGGAAATACGGAAAATCTCTTTATTATTTCATCCAAGTAAGTTTTTCAGCTTTCTTTTTACATCAACTGTACGGACCATTGCATCAGTCTTCATTGGATTAGTTGTACCATTAGAAATCATGGGAGGTGCTTTAGAGGCTGCAATGAGAATAATATGTTATTATCCATGAGCTATTGAAAAAACCACCTTTAACTTTACAGTCTACAGCTGGTACAACTCCTGGCAGCCACTTAACATATATGTAGGCTTTGTGTAATCAGCTGATGTGTTATGAAGGAAGATTCTGTTCACCTGTCCCTATCCTCAGACCAAAAGAAAAAAAAAAACAGAATTGCTCTGTGATTGCTGAATGAAAATAGAACATCTGAACTGCTGCTCCCTTTCATTTCAGTGCCCAAGGAGTAGGCTTTTTAGCTAGAGTAATTTTTGTCCATCTCTGTGACTGGACAGGAGCTATATAGGTGCTAGGTTTTATTTAATTTGGGGCATAGGTAAAGAACTTGTGCATCTGGTGAAAAACTTGTTTTCTACCTGCCCTACAACATCGTATGATACATTCTTTCTTGTGTAGATAAAGTTTAGTCAAAATCTTAAGCCAGAATCCTTTCCTGAAGATGTCTATTTTAGATTATAAGTAAATTTTGATGTATGTTGAAAACTTGATGTATGATTTTTTTACGGTGATCAGTGAGAAGGAACAGAATCGAGTCCTTCAGCTTCCCTTTGTTGTATTGCTCTTTTTCATACCAAAATTTCTCTCCCTTCTTGGGCTTCCATTTCTGTTGCAAGAATGATAAATAATTTCAATTCACACATAAGTAAAACGCAGTCTAGGTAGTCTCCTCCAGGCTGACAAGGCTTCAACTGCAAAACATAGCCTGTCCCACAGGTTTAGAATGTAATGCATATATTTCATATTTTGTGACTGTTTCTTCATATGCATTTTGTATTTTTCTTCCCTTGCTTTACAGCAAGACACGAAAGGAGATTACCAGAGGGCACTGCTGCACCTATGTGGTGGAGAGGACTGAAAACTGTGATGGAAGAAACCCAAATCCAGAGAGATGCCTTTTTTGCTCTTAATTTTACTGTAATCCTAGAAAAAAATTGACTTGCCTAGCTAACCTTGACTTGCCTTTGTATCTGCAGGACCACTGATGTAGTATGCTTTCCAGTGCTGTGTGCGCTTCTCTCGGCAGCAGTGCTCTGCTTGGCTCTGCCAAAGGCCCTAACAGCATATAGCCAGAGAAACTAACCTTCCACAGATAAACGAGTTTACAAGCATTTGTGAAAGACTCTGCCTCTCTGTGCGATGTTTCTAATAAAACATAAATAAAACTGAAGTTTTACTTTAAGAAGACTGATCTCTTTCAGACTTTTAATTTGAAAACTGTGTGAACAATTAATACGTATTTAGCCTTTGCTGTCCGTTTTCTATGTTGTTGTTTTCCTCCCAGGGTTCACTACTTGGGGCTGAAACCTTACCTTCCTTCCTCAAAGCCTTTCCCCCTGTTTAATGATTCGATTTCTCAGCAGAAGCAAAACTATTCTCTTGGTTATTTTTTTTGCCTTTTTTTCCTCCCAAATAAGTGACACTAAAACCTGAGCCCTGTCTTTCTTTGCCTGTGTGTGAGGGCCAAACACTTTTGAATCTCTTAAACATTGAAACACTTGCTGTGCTTGTGTGCGAGGGGTGAATAGTTTGGAATCCCTCTTTAACATTTAGAACAGCCTGTTTGTAACCTGAGTGTTTCCATCCGACGGCCCGGCGCTAGGGCATGCTGCGTGGGTGTGTCAGACCGGGCTGGGAAGCAAGGAGGAACGACGTGGGTGCTGCTTGTTTTAGTGAGGAGGGAGTTTCCCGCCTTTCTCCTTCCCGCCCTCCCCACTGCCCTGAGCGCAGGTCTGGGTGCGGAGGCGGGGGCTATCTTTGCTCCCTGCCTGGCGAGCAGGGG